ACCCTCACCTGTCACACAGGTGCACACCCGCCTGGGGCGGAGACCCTCACCTGTCACACAGGTGCACACCCGCCTGGGGCGGAGACTCTCACCTGTCACACAGGTGCACACCCATCCTGAGGATCCCATCACTGCCATTGATGCACCACCACCTGGACCTGGAGAGCCCTGTTCAGGGCAGAGACTCAGCTATCAGATCCCCAACACGGACGAAGCATCCGTCTCTTCCGGGCCCAGGCTGCCTCGGAACGGGAAGGGTAGGTAAGGGTGGGAGCACCTCTGGTCCCGCCCTCCAGAAAACCTTGAGGAGAGCAGCCACGTTTGAGGAACAGAGGCCAGCTGGCAGGGGCCCCACATACCACTGGGGCCAGAGCAGAGTGGGGCTGCAGGGGGACCTGTAACACCCGCTCCCATCCCCCAAACAAGGAGGCAGTCAGGAGACCCCAGGGTCACCACTGAGGACCGCAGGCAATTGGACAAGACACATTTTACAGATTTGGAAAGTTTAATGAATCCTTGTGTTGACCTGTGCCCAGCGAGGGCACTGGACCAAGTCCCCACCCCCTGCAGACCACCGCTCCAGCCGAAACAGGGCCCCCGACCTCCTGAGGGGTGCAGGCCCCTGCACTAGCACCCTGCCTGGCCCTGGGCCTGAGGAGGGGCCAGGGGAGCTCCTATCCTGAATGAGCAGCAGGGCTGCAGAATGGCCCCAAGGGTCAGCCGGGCAGTGGGCCCCCAGCCCCCCTAGTTCCCCGTGCCCAAGGGACAAGGGTCCCCGATCGTGGCTCCCACCCACTCTCAATGCCAATGTATGCGGTCCACAGCCACATCCTGCCTGTGGCCTCTCTGTGGCCAGTGGGCTTCATTCCCTGGGCACAGACAGTGCACTTGGCAGGGAGGCCAACACCCTCCCTGGCCCTGCCCAGCCCTGGGGCCTGGCCAGTATGGAGCCCAAGGTGCACCTGGCCCATGTGGCAGCAGCTGTACTAGAGGCCTGTCAGGTCCACGATGGCTTTGATAAAGATGGCATCGTTGCGCACATACGAGTTCTTGGCCTCCATCTTGGAGACAGGACAGAAGAGGGGGCAGCCGCTGGCGATGTTCATGTCGCTGACGGGCCGCTGGAAAGAGGAGGAGGTCACGTCTGGCCTGAAGGCGTCAATCACGTGCTCGCGGTTGTTCTGGTCCAGCAGCATAAGCGTCACCTGGGGGAGGGTGACCGTGAGCGCTCCAGGCACCCTGCTTCCCACCGCCACCAGAAACCACCCACATCCACTGTTGGGGCAGCTACACGACCACAGCGTGGCCAGTCCTCAGAGACACACACGTCACTGCCTGACCCGCACCACATGTGGGAACACACCCTGAGCTGGAACAGAGACAGACAGACGCTGGACCAATGCCCACCATGCGCTACCAATGTCCACGTGCACCACCAACATCCACTGTGCACCACCAACGCCTACTGAGTGCCAACGTCCACTGTGCACCACCAATGCCCAGTGGGCGCCAACGTCCAGCAGCACCAACACTGCAGCACCAGGCACAGGTGTGGACGGAGAGGCGGACACCAGCCAACACCCACTGACAGGATCTAAATGAACCACGCAGCAGAACTATCGCTCAGCCCCAAAGAGCTGTGACCTCCGGACTTGTCACGTGGATGAAGCCTGAAAAACGTGACCCCTGTTGAAGGCAGGCAGACACTCAAGGACAAGTACTAAACGACCCACTCATATGAATGCTCTAGAATGGGCCAGACAACACAGTTCACAAGTGGGTGCCAGGGCTGGGGAGGGCAGACGGGAGCCCCCATATAGGAAGCAGTGGGCATCTTCACGGGATATGTGCCACCGACTCTAGCATGACATCACTCAACTGTACTAGTGCCCGTCACCTATAAAAGATCACCTCACGCAGCCATCTAGATGCAACGACAGGTCTCTCCTCGTCCACAACAAAGAATAATGAAGAAAACCAAAGATTCACGGAAACAATTAGTCCTATCAACTAGTACACCATGTGATCCACAGCCTGTATGACTATGAGACCAGAAGAACTACATGGTGCCTGGCTACCACTGTCATCCACTCTGAGGGGAATCTATATAGGAGATTCTGGATAGAGAGGGAGAACAATGTGGAACAAAACTCAAAATAATTTGGAAAAATAAAAGGGGGACCAGGTTTGCTGGTCTGATAGAGCCTGGTGGAACCCCTGAAACTACGGCCCCTAGCTGCCCTTCAGGTCTGGAATTGAACCCGCACCCATGGCTTACAGCCAAACAAAAGACAGGCATAGGAGTTGAACATTTACCTGAGGTAGAAACACTCCTTGGAGAGAACAATCATGGGAGAAAGAAAGACTGTATATCTATAGAGAGGTAGCTCAAGGGGCAGGAGTGCATGGAAGGATGGACACAGGGAAGAGGTGACTGTCGGGAAGAAGTGGGAGGGGAGCTGTTGCATTGGGGTGAATTGTGGTCAATGTCACGAGACAAAGTGTATATGAACTGCTATGTGAAAAGTGAAATTTGCTCTGTAAATTTTTACCCAGTCACAATTAAAAAAAAAAAAAAAAAAAAAGCCACCTCGCTCAGGAAGCAAGGTGCGCGTCGGGGCTAAGGCGCCCTGTTCCTGGGCTTCTGCATCACATCCAGCCCTGCAGGGGCTCTGGTCTGAGCCTCCATTCACAGCCTGTACCCAAGCTGGCTGTCTAATCGTTGGTCTCAGTGGGCCGTGGGCCCGTACCTGTGTGCTGAGTGGCTCAGAGGGCAGCCCCACAGGACAGGGCAGGGGTCACCAGGGGACGTGCTCAGCCAGGCTCCTCAGCAGCGCCCCCGCGGAGAAGCCTGTCCAGCAAGGACGGCCCATCCCTGTGGGGTTGCGGGGGAGAGGCCCACCTTCTGGTTGAAGGGCCACCGCAGCAGGGCGTCGTGGGGGCCTCGCATCACCACGAAGAAGAGAGACAGGTGGGTGCCCCGCCCGGTGCCGTCGCCGTTCAGGTAGACACGCAGACACATCTTGTAGCCGTACCTGCTCGTGTAAAAGGCTGCAGAGGGAACCGGCACGTGAGGGTGAGGGGCGGGGCGGGGCGCGAGGAAGGGTGGGGAGCTCAGTGGGCGGAGCTTGAGTGTGGGTGGGGTGGGGCGGGCAGAGAGAGCTGGCATGAGGATGGGTGACGGTGATGGTGGGCAGGGCTCTAGGAGCGCAGGGCGGGCAGAGCACAAGGGCACTGGTGAGGGCGGACCACCAGGGCTGGTGGTGGCGTTACCATGGGCGGGGCAGAGCTCAGGTGGAAGCAGTGGGGGTGGGGCAGGCAGGGCTGGGCTAGAGGTGACGGTGGGCAGAGCGCAGGGGGCTCACAGTGAGGGCCCAGCATCCCAGAGGGAAGGGCCCAAGCACCTGGGGAGAAGATGGCAGGGGCGCGGCCAGCCACGGCTTCCTGGCGCTTCCTGGCGAAGTCGGTGATCTTCCAGACAAAGACGCCGTCATAAGTGGACGCCTCCATATCCTGGATTTTCTGCTCCAAGTCAGCCATTGCCAGGTCCTTCAGACCAATGCTCCGCTCCAGCTGCTGCACCTGCCAGGGGGGCACGGGGCACTCTGGACACCATGCCGCCAAGACTCCCAGAACCCTTCCGTCTCCAGATCCAGGCCCAGAGCTCACGAAGACAACCCGCTGTGGCACCCTCCCACTTCCTGTCCCCCGGTCCCTGTTCTCTGACCCCCCAGGTCCCAGCTAAAGCACCACGTGTGGTGCCAGGCTCATCCCGACAACGTAACCGTGCCGCCCCCACAATGGCCTGAGTGCGCTCCGTCAACTCAGAGAACCGAGGGCTTCGTCCAGACACAAAGACGGCAGGACGTGGAGGAAACAGACAGTGCTGGAGCCCAAAGCCCCGACCCACGAGAGGCCCCAGGTGAGGCGTGCACCTTGTTGCTGAGTGCCTCGATTTTCTCCTGGTCCAGCCGGTGCTGCCGGCTGCAGGCCTCTGCCGTCATGGCCACGCGCTCCACTTCCCGGTTCAGGACACAGACGATGTTCTCAAACGTGACTGTCTTCGTCTCCAGGGCGTTGCACCTCTCCAGGAGCCCGGGCAGCTCAAGCCGCAGCCCCCAGGTCCCATCGCCAGGGAGATGACTGGCCTCCAGGACGCGGTCCAGCAGCAGGCCCAGATGCTCCCGGAGCCGCTGGGCCTCGTGTTCCTGCTGCCGCTCACTCTCCACCTGCAAGAGCACCAGGCTCAGCCCCGCCCACCCACCCCCAGTGGGG